TTAAAGTAGTTTGTCTTCTAGTTTCTAAGAAGGAACTGATAAGTGCCTTTCTATAGAAGTAACAAAGCATATCTTTTACATTTTTGACTATAGGTAATTTTAAGTTAGGATGAATATCAGAAAAATGTTTTTAACAGTGTCCTAAATGTTTCTTAGGATTTCCTTCTCTGCTTACATTGCTCCTCTGTCCTTGCAGGCTGACTGCCTCAGTCACTAGACTTCAGTGTATTCATCATAGTGGGTTTAAATTCCCAATCTAATAATTCCAACATCCCTGCTGTGACTGATTCTGATGCTTACTCTGTCTCTTCAAATTGTGGGGTTTTGCCTTTCGGTACACCTTGTAATTTTTTCTTAATTATGAGCAGAACGTGATACGCTGTGTAAAAGAAACTGCCAAAAAATACTTATAGCAATGTGGTGGTGAGGTGTGAAGGAGGGGAAGTGTTCTGTAGTCTTATGACTAAGTCTCTGTCTTTCAGCGAGCCTGTGCCCCTGGACTATGAATGTCACACATATTTCTGGGGTGGGAGTAGGGGTTCTACTCCTTAGGGGGGTCAGGATGGCTAGAGCCACCTGGATTTGGGTATTTCCTTTATCTAAACTTTTCCTGTGGGATGTTTTCTTTTATGGTCCATTCCTTATGATCTGCAGTAAGAGAGCAGAGAAAGGCAGTATTGAAATCTGAAAGGAGAGAGAAATTCGACTTCTTCCACTGATCCTTCACAGAGCTACTCATCATTAACCAAACTGGCTCATTCTTTTGAAAGCCCTCCTTCTCCTCTTATCCCCTAGTAGATGTTTAAACACATAAAGAAATGACAGCCAGCGTGAGCAAGGAGAAAAGTGTCCAAAAGAGAGACTATTTAATACAAAGTGCGTGACCAGTCTGTAAATAGCTGTATCTGACTTAAGATGGAAGTTTGAAGAGACCGAATGAGATAATTAAGGGAGAGATGCACATAGTTAAGAACAGCTTGTTTTCACCCGTGGTGCGCTTTCTCTTCCATCCCTGTGGTATGGCTTTAGCCTCATGTATGCATCTATCCTACTATTGTTATGTTCTGTGCTTTATGATGTTTCAAAATCAGATATCCTTGCTACTAAATCACTTTGCAATGACTACATTCCTGTAGAGAGGTAGCCATGGCCTTTTTAAAAAAAAAATCTGTCCTGTTACATAATAATGTCTCAGCTACCACAAAAGAATAAGTGATGCCCTTGTACTCAACTCTCAGAGGCAAAATTTAATGCACTGGCAGGTGGGTGCTAGCCATGTCAGTTAGCTACTACTAAATATCAGACCATTCCCAAAATGTAGTGTCTTATCAATCCTCAGGAGTCTCTGGATCAGCTGAGTGATTCTTCTCTTCTGGCCCATGCTAGGCTTCAGTTAGCTGATCTCGTTCAGCCACTGTTTGCCTAGGCATCTCCTGTCAACTGCTGAGTGACTGCTTTGAGATGGGCTCAGCTATGACAGCGTGATTCTATTGCACGTGATCACTCATCATCCAGCAGGCTAGCCTGGGCATGTTCACCTGGCAGTGAGCAAGGTTCTCAGAGACAGAACAGATATACTCAGGCCTTTCGAGGCCTAGGCTTGACATTGACATGGTGCCAGTTTCACTGCCTATTGACAGCAGTTTACTGGCTAAAGCAAGTTTCTCTTGATGGGAAGAGCTACAAAATCTCATTGCAAAGGGTGGGGATGCAGGAAGGGGTAGAGAATTGTGGTATTTGGGCAGTCTTATACAATGTTTGAGGAAGACAATCAGATGTTCATACCAGCCCAAATTTTTGAATACCCCTTGGAGTAGACATTTATTATCTCTACCTCCTTCTTCTGGTATCTGTACCTCCCTTCATTTGAGGACACTATTTTTCCTTCTTCTGGGCACATGGTTTGAATGGGGCTGACCCTATCTCTCAGCCACAGGGATTAGCCTAAAGGGGGAACTGACCCTAGTGGACAATACTAGTGTTCACTCTCCCCTATAGGGACTGGTCCCAAGATATCCATACACTGGGCACTCAATTTATCTTTTCCAGGATTTTTTCTCTCACTGTTACTAGGAGAGGCCCTTTTCCTATCCAATTAAGCAGGACATGAGCATCCATCATCTCCGCTTCTTGTAGAAGCCACAATATAAAATAAAGTCACAGAGTCTTTGGTTTCCGTCACCTCTGGGGTGGCTCCCCTCATTGTCTTTATGTGCTTTGATAATGGGAACCAGTACTCTCACTCCTGCCCAGGTGATTCACATTGTGTTTTTGTCACCTGTAACCAGAGGAGTCCTAACTGAAAGAGCCCTAAGACAAAATTTCCAACAGAAGAGGCAGTGTTTGTACTTTCTGGGATACTCACTAAACTAATTTCATGCGTTGTTTTTTCTTTTTACATATAGAGCAGGGCTACAATTCAGATGCCTGAAGGGGACAGACAGGCAAATGAAAGTGACTAATGAAGGCAGGTGGAACTGTGGAGCCTTGCAGGGAACCTCACTGTCTATAAGGGGTAGTCACTACTCAGACTATTGTTTACTTGGGAATATGGGCCCAGTGTTGCTGGATCTTCCAATTTCTCAAAAAAAAACAAAAAGAAATCTCAATTTTAATTTTGAAGTCCCCAATTTTTAAAAAAATAACAAAATCCACTCATCCTATAGACCAGATACCTCCGTGAACCACCAGTTAAACTCTCTGTAGGGAACCCACCAATCCTATATGATCCTATAAATGTTAAATCCCAAATGACCAAAATTCTATTTTATTATGCTTTAGCATAGTATGCTTTTGCCGGTTATCTGTTATCTGTTAGCTCCAAACCTACCTTTTTATACACTGCACCATAAGTTGGAGCTAGGACTCATATTTCTCAGACTCCCTTGTCATTTGGCTTTCAATTAGATTCCATGAATGGAAGGCACCGGCAAGAGATTGAAAGGCCAGAGGTACAGAGAAGAAAACTCAATTTGACATCCCTGTAGCCGCAGTGCACAGCTGTGTTTCTCCCTTGCTGTGCCCCATCAGAGGTACTAGCAGTAGCCATGGCTGCCCTACCCCACACCCCAGTGGCAGCCTGAGCACCAACTGGTCCCACCCCTTTGACTGTCCTAGCTCTACCATTGGGCTCAGGAATTAATCAGGCCTTCTCCAAGGGACTTCTCCAAGATCCTAGATTCTGATAACACTACTTCTTCTCTTTTATTCTCTCTGGACTTAAAGATGGTAGTCATTTTCTTAAATTATTAATCTCTGGATTCCATAAACATCTACTTCTTGCTCTTTCAGCCTTCCAATATCCTGCATTGATTAAATTCCTTCTGTTTGAAACAACTTGACACAACCCTGACTGATACTGATAATAATTATTAAAACAAAATGTTTATTTTGTATGTGAGAATTTCTTTTTCTGAAATCATGTGAAAACCAGCTGCTTCAAATCTCAAGATCCTTGCTACAAGAAGGTAGTTACCAAAAAGCCACAAAAAGCAGTTCTGTTAAATAGTTGTGATTGTTCAGTTATTAATATTTAAAGTCCTCATGACTCATAAAAAGACTATACCTAAAGTATCATTCATAATTGGCATTTATATCCCTAAATCTGTCTCATTCTTCTTGAATCTATTTCTATACGGGCCAACTGAAGCCAATACTTAGGAAACAATATTCTTAAGAATGTTTTACCAGTTACGCCAGTGTAGTTGGGTCCAGATTTATGATAAGCAAATAAATATTTTAAATTTTTAAAAATATGTATTCTAAAATAATTTAAAATTAAATATCTTTAAATTTTAGTAAATTTGTATAAACCAGCTGTATTTGGGACTGGAGGATAGTAATTACTCATACTAGATTTGGAGCTTTCATTTTCATGAAAAGCCTAACCTGAGGATATCTTGAAGTTTAGGTATAAGTTCAGATATACAAACATGTATTTCTAGAAAATGGAATTATATCTTTCTTTTCTCTGGAAACATCTACACCAAACTAATAATTGTGGCTGCTGCTTGGGTAAAGGAATTGTTTAATTATTGTCTTTTTTCTTATAAGTGAAAATTATTTTAATTATAATGGAAAACATTTTGAAGTTCCTTCCGTGCAAATTTAAAAGACTTGGATTAAAGACTGGGATTGACATTCCCTTTTTAAGGAAAATGCCTATTGCATGCCTTTTCAGTAAGTATCTGTGGGGTACATTGTACTAAGAGAACCCCAAAGTAGTATTCCTGCCCCAGGGAGTCTAAATCTTATTGGCAAGGCTCACTGACATCTTTATAATAAATAGCTAATACATGATAGGCTCCTAATACCCATTTGTTTAATGAACACATGGAAGTATCATCAGAAATATTTTATTCAAACTCTCATTTCATAGAAGATTAGCCCTATTCTGTTCATTTATCATACCTGGATCATATTCATCACTTCTAAAACACACATTGCTCACTTTTCAACAATTCTGGAATCAGAATAAGACTTGTTATAACTGTGATTTTTAAAGTATTGTTTCATAGACAGTCTGCAGCATTTTCTTTTTTACAGTGTCGGTATGTCTTACATTGATGGCATCTTGGATTGAGTGAAATACAATACATATTATATATTCTATATTTTAGAATATACTATATGACTATTTAGGCATGTTTCCCCCAAGGTTCAACTGGGAAAAGTCTTCCTGAGGCCACTCCGTTCGATGAATATTGAAGCCTCTAATGATCAGATGAAATCCACACAACTACTGGCTTATAAATGTTAAAACCAACAGCTGACAAGTAACAACTTTATAAAAACTTGCATATTTATGAGGGTTTATTTCTCATATTTTCAAATTACAATTGAATGTTAAATATCTATTTTCCATTTTTAACTTAATGTAAGGCATAAGTGTATATAAAAATCATGTACATTTCTAAGCATTTATGATATACTTAAAAGGTTTTCATATTTTAGTGTTTGAAATTAATCAAAGGTTTAAAAGGTCTAAGAAATATGGAAATGACTAACCTGTATAATAATTTTAAAAAGTTATAGAAGAAACACTGATAAAACCTTATAGAAGAGATGAAATTAACTATGAAATAAAAATGAAATGTTATGACAAAGACAAAGAGTACTGTAAAAAAAATTAATCACAAAAAGAACAAAATGTCAGCAGACTAATAAAATGTGACTCATCAATAAGGTACAACCTACACTAACTGCATAATAATAATAAAGGAATCTCTCTGAACACTGCAATGTAAAACACTGAGCACACAAGTTAAAAACAGCAAACACAGAAACATATTTTATTCATAATTATTGACACGTACTATTTCTGTGAACATTTCACCAGGTACATCAGGTTTAATCATATAGTCCTTTTGCATCTCTTAGCCTTTCTTTTTCTTCCATATTTTCTCATAGAGAAGTTTTAGCTGATGTGGAAGTTGGGAGAAAAGGGGCAGAAAGGAATAGGGAAAGCCATCCTTTCAACCCATTGGTGACCATTGCCTGTCACTCACACTCCCATCCTGTGTTTCCCAGGACCTCCAGATAACTTCACTGAGGACCTTGAGAGCTGTAGTGATCTCCTCTTTCCTCCCTCATCCCACACTTCCTTCTTTTCTGGGATCAGGAATAGAGATTCTGGAAGTACACATGCCCTCTGCTCTTCCATCTGGACGCCCTCACTCCCTGCCAACTCAAACCCCAACTCACCTGCCCAATGACCATAACAGAGCTTCCTACCCCACAAAAAGAGTACAATATAGCTCTTTTTCCTGTTGTATACTTTAGGGAATGATCTTAAAATGTGACGAGTTTTCATTGCTATAAAAAAAACAAAAAGGGAAATTCACTTAAGACTGTAGCAAACACTGAATGTAGAAAGAAAACTAAAACTCTTGACTTTTCACAAACAACATTATCTTAAGATCCTAAAGACAAGAAAGAGGTAATGACTAAGAAAAATACAGTGCTTTTGTGGCTATGAGTTTACAAAAATATGAATTTCTTATTATACTGTTACTATTCACCAGAATAATTTTCCACTGACTTCTGATATTTTTTTTAATTTTCAAGCATTATGATTTTATGGACTTTTTTGGTAGAGTGGATAGGGAAAGATGAAAGCCAGGTCAAATTCATTTAGATGAAAGTAAGACTGAAACTTACATAAGCAAGAAGATTACCTTTAAGAGGACGTTGACCGATTGTGTGATAGTATGGATTGCTTTTTCATATGAAATATTTTCAAGAAAGCCTTCTGAAAACGCTTGTGACACAGCGGATACAAAAAAGGATTGATAAAGGAATTGAACCACTGAAGCCAAAATGTGAACTCGTACACAGCTGTTGCAGCTGTTGTAGGACGCTGATCTAGAGGGTAGACCGAACGAATAATTGTGAACAGAGAGTAGGGAGCCCAGCAAATGGCAAAAACACCTGAGATAATGGCCAGTGACTTGGCCAATTTCCTGACTCTGAGTAGTTCAAGATGTTCCCTTTGGTGAGGAGCTAGAGAATCTGAAAGGGAAAGGGAGCCCGTTTTGGAAACAACTGTACTATTTATCTGGGTTCTTAAGGAAAACAAGACACTGCTCTTTCTTCTCGGCCCCTTGGAATGGAGGGATGCTGCTGCTTCCTTCAGTTCAGGAAGAGACGTCCTTGAAAACAGTCCACACCTGAATGAACGTCCACGGCTACCAGAAGAGACAGAAGTGAGTCCAGAACGGCTTTGACACCTACTGAGATTACCACGCTTCCAAAGTCTCCAGTAAATATACATGTTGAAATAAACCACTAACAACAGCGGGACCAGGAATTCGAAGAATAACGTGATGGCAAGGATATACCATTCCGAAAAGAATCCAGGTTCACAACCCCGCTTCTCATCCTTCCAAGACTCTGAAGCAAGAATCATTGGCCCATGCACTAAGAAGGCCCCCACCCAGATGGCTGCCATCAGTGCCACGATCTTCAAGATCCCCATGTGTTGAGTTCTGTAAGATACCTAAAGGAAAGCAAATAATTTTCAATATAGTGAGCATATATTGATTGTACAACACATACTATCAGCCCTCAGAAGTTTCAGGGATGTACAAGTCAGGGACGTTAACTGGATGTGGGTCATAAGATGTGAGCCAAGGCAGAGGGTTCAATTTCGAGGGAGCCTGGGCCAAAAGTAGACTTTGTTAGTGATTCGAGGTTAAACCTCTGACACTGTATAAAATGTCAAGGTCAATATCTATGTAAGAAAGCAATTTTTCCCAGTCCACGGACACTCATCTGGACTATTAAGTGAAACTGGGAGCACCTTTTCACAGTGTTTTTCAAGCTGCCGACTGCGTCACGAGCAGCATTTTTTAAAAATGAATTGGAATAGTCAATGTCAGAATGCCTCACACATCATAAGGATAAGTATCGTATGATGGAAATTTTGCTTTGGGAAGATAGATACACATAGAAATGTGTAAACTGAATCACAGTGTAAGATGCATTTTTTCACTGTAGTCACAGTCAAAAAAAAATTGAGAAACACTGGCTTTTCTGAATCCAGTATTCAGCAAGCATCTACTCTGCAGCTTATGCTGAGACTTCAAGGTGAGGTCAAAAGGAGAAAGAACTCCCACAAGATGACACACACACACACACAAAGAAGTATAAACCAGCTGTGGGGAGGTACTGCAGTGTTACTGAGCATGACTAAGTCATTTCTTTCTACAGATGTTTCTACCGATAAAAATGGTACCAGAACAGAGGTGGCCAGCCACTTTCTCTGCTTTCATCATGTAAGAGAAAGGAAATGATTTACCCAGGAAATTGGAACTCACCTCCCTTTTCTCAGTCTCTCAAGTACTGTTCTCTCTGTGAATTCTTAATTGTTGTTCTAAAGTAGTTTCCCTTTTTTTATTAAAAGGATGTAACACTACCCAGCACTGTCTGTCTTTGATGGATTGTATATGCTGGGAAGGATCACCAGTTGGCTAGATGTTAAAGGAGGCTTGTTTTTTGTTTTTTGTTTTTTAAAAAGTGTTTTTAAAAACTACAGAGAAGTGGGGTTTCCTTTATCTTTTTTTCCCCAAATCACTGGTATTTCAGAGGCTAAGCTAAAATGCATATGGTGCTGACCACAAGCTCCCATGTACAATGTGCTTTTTACCTTCTGCTTATCATGCCACTAATTAATATATCTGCACTATATCTAATGATTAGAAAGATGATAACAGTACCCTGATGGTCATAAAACTGTATTTAGTTTTTTAATGTCTCTGTTCAACCTTTGTAATGATATGATGCAATATGCTGGAAAGTGATCTCTTTTCTATTATGCATAAGGTCAAATGAGATAATGGACATCCAAGGGAATTGAGAAGATGATGCCAGTGTCTTCATCTCTGGGTAGCCTTTTTGACACACAGATAGTTCAAGCATTGCTTGAATCCAGGCCCATGCCCCCCTTGCAATTAATCAGTGGCCCAGTTTCACCCACTACAGAATATGTCCATTATTTAGGATGATACCTTTTACCCTGCTTCCTTCCCCACCCCAATAAGATACCCAACCATTCTGTCAGTCGGGTTTATTTTGTGAGGCAGAGCAGCACCTGAAATTTGCTGGTGTTAATAGTGAGATGGGATTGCAGGGCATTCTAAGTGACTGCCATGCCCTGCCTCTGCATCAAGCCTTCCTTTCCCAAATTACTGTCAGGTTTCCATTTCCCAAGCTCAGCTCACGCCCTGCTCTAGCACACTGTCTCCTCTACTTTCAGCTGCAGCAAGAGCTCAGCTTCCCCATGACCACTTCCTACCAGCTCTTGTGATCTTTGAAGCTTTCCTTCTGGCCTCACACAGCTGTGTTGGAGCTCTTAACCAACAAAGGCACGAGTGCTGCCTGAGTATGCCTGCGAGCATTCATACACTCACATGTGGATCACATGTTACATGCTTGACTCTGTGCTGTGTTCTAGGGACCAAGGATCCAGCTGGCCCAGTCCTCACCAAGTCTATAGACTGCAGTGTTTGGGGAATTTCTCAGGGCAAGGCCAAGAAAGAAACCCACCCATTTTCTCTCTGGACATCACACCTCGACTCTATAATTTCTAAGCCCTTTTTCTAACTGGGCAAGCTGTCCCTGACCTTGACACAAACCTGAGGTTGACTCAAGAGCAAGAGCTTGGACATTCAGTGAAGAAATGTTCCAGTGAACACTAACTAGGAACACCCAGTGGAGATTAAAAAGAAAACCCAGAAAGAAAGGAAAATTTTTAAGTACAAATGGGAAACATTATGAATCAGAGCACTGCTTTTCAAACATCTTGACTGTGACCTAAAGTAAAAAAAATACACTGTATATCCTTATCAAGTATACAGATAAAAGTATTCATGAAGCAATACTTTACTGTGCATAAGTTACTGATATACTCTAATTTTAAAAAGTCTCCTTTCCATATTTTTTCATCTTAAAAAAAGTGACATCACAACTTACTAAACTGAATTGATGATTCAGTAGTAGGTTACTACTTGCTGTTTGAAAAATGTGAGATTATAGACATCTGAATTGCTAATCCAAACTGATCTGCGCTCTCTCCATAGTTTGTCCAGTACAAACTGCAGTGAACTCTGGCGCCAATGAAGTATCCAATGCCAAGTGTCTGGCCATCTCACCACATCCACTCTCCACCTCTTCCTGGCACATGGCAGCTTAGTTAGAGGACGCACTTCCCAGCTTCCCTTGCAGTAAGGTAAGACCATGTGACTAAATTTCACCAGTGAAATGTGAGTGGAAATGATTGTGTGATTCTGCACTACTTGGTTAAAAGAAAATCCCCTGGACTTCTACCTTTTGTCCTTCCTTTTAGAACTTGAAGTGACAACAACTTGTCTTTGACCATGCAGAGGAGCATAATGACTTAGGGCTTAGGAGCAATTGTGACCCACCACCTGTTTGGATAAGAAAGTTTCATTTGAGCAGTTGCAACAGAGACCATATAGGTCCCTTTATAGTAAAAGTTTGCTGATCCCTGCCCTAGCAGGTACAGAGCTTGGGTCCCTGGTTGAGTTCCTGGAGCAGAGCCTCCCACTCTTCCTGGACTGTGCTATGAGAGAAAAAGAAAGTTCTATCTTGTTTGAGTCTCAGCACTTCGGAATCTCTTTGTTATGGCAGTTTGTCCCTGCCTTATCTGATACACTCTCCCAACCCTGTCTGCCTCCAAGCTGTGCAGTCCTCCGAGGCCAGAGCTGTCACTGTTCTGGCAGTGCCTCCAGCATCACTCTTAGCCCCTTTGTCTGTGGATCTGCCTCCATACCAGACTACTATGCTCCTCACAGATAAAGCGTGTACTGAGTCATTGTATACTAGTCCTTAGCAAAACTCCTGTCATACTAATTCCCCACAGATTTGGGTCCCTGGGACTCAGGAGTGAAGGAAGTTTCCCATCTAGGCCTCAAAGATTTCACATCATTGTCCTGTATTTGCATGGCCCCCTTCCATCCTCTGTCCTTACTAATATCAGCCTTATTCTCTCTTTCATTCTCTTGTTGATAAATTTAGCTTGCTTAAGTGCTGTCACTAACGAGTTGATGAAGCTATTCCAAATCTTGGATAAGTTCAGACTTCCTTGGTATGGATCCTAAACTGGCACTGATTTGTTTCTGGTTAGTTGCACTGTACAGGCTGTAACTTCCCTGTGTACTGTCTTTTCCTTTGGTCATTCAAAATTGATTTTCTCATGACATTCAGAAGTCTGGGAATCTTTCTACTTGCCCACCAAATTCCATCTTGAAGAGAACATTCAGGTCTCAAGTTGTCTAAGGAGTTGAACTGAAAAACCTACTGTGAGCCTCATGCATATCCAATCTACTGTGGACTCAGTATACCACGTCCCACACTTGCCCTGGACTTTGTTTGACACCTTCCCATTTTAGGGGCACATACAGAAGTGACTTAGCAAAATCACACACAGAAAATGTTCACTAAGGGCCGATGAGAACTTAATGCCAGATAACGAAAGAGTAGTCAGGCTCCTCGAAGGTTTGTCAACTAAATTCTTTTTTTTTTTTTTTTTGTTCTTAGGGACTCAAAATGTGCAAGTATATAACCGTCTAAGGAGGATACATTAATTTTTTACTTACAGCATTCGAGACTGACTGGTATCGATCAAAGCTGATGAGTACAATATTATACACAGATGCTGTACACAAAAGATAGTCGACGATGAGCCAAAATGCACAGATTTCACCTCCAAATTTCCAGTCAAACAGAGTGTGAGGGATGTACAAAGGAATGGAGATCACACCTATACAGGTAAAATAGTGAGGGTTAAAAAAATAGCACATATCAATGAATATGAAGAGACAAAGATACACAACAGTGTATCTGAATTGATCAAAAAGGGCTTGATTACAATTTAGAAATTCATGATATTTCATTAGTAAACTCAGGACTGACCTCCTGTACATTCTTAAAATACCATTTTTTAAATAGCTGTCACAAGCATCGAACCTTCAATGGCTCCTTATTACTTTCCAGATTAAGTTCAGGCCCCAACCCGTATCTCCAGCCATATATAGCACACATGATCTTTGTGTTCATGCTCCAGGCCAGACAGGATGGGCCACCCTCTCCCCAGACACATCCCTCATGCTCACGTCTCTTTACCTTTGCCAATGCATTATTTCTTCCTAGAATGTCCTCTCTTCCACTGAGAAGTCAATTTAATTCCTTCTCATTCTTCACTTAGTTCAAAAAATGACCTCCTCCTTGTCCCTTGACCCCTCTGTCACTTGCCTCTCCTGTCCCTCATGAACAAATACATCCTCCTTTATATGGTCATCATCTGTTAACTTGTTTCTCCCAAGGATTGGGACCATGTTGGAAGTTGGTTTTTGCATTCTTCACCACATCTAGAGTTGAGCAATGGCTCGCACATTTAACTCAAATAAATTAATAACAACTAATACATGTCATGCAGTTACCATATGCCAGACATTGTGTTGTGAACATATATTGCCACGTTTAACCTCCATAGAAACTTTGTGAGGTAGAGACCATGCTGAATTAGCAGATAAAGAACCCGAAGCTCAAAAAGGAGACACTTACCCCAAGTAAGTGAAAAATTGGATTTGAAACCAGACAGTGTGATTTCAGAACCCCTGACTTTAACTGCTACCCTGCACTGAACAAATACCTGAATGATTCAACTGAGCACAGAAACTGCTTCATTGTAAAAAGTAACTAAACTGGGCTCCCTTTCCTTTGGCTTTGTAGGGGTTTTCAACTGTATTGACATTTCAGACAGGTGATCATCTCGCTAAGAAAACTAAGTGGAAGCAAATTTCACTGTTGTCTTCTTTTAGGAAATTGCCACAGCCACCCCAGCCTTTAGCAGCCACCACCCTGATCAGTCAGCAGCCATCAACATAGAGGCAGGACCCTCCACCAGCAAAAAGATTACGACTCACTGAAGGTTCAGATGATGGTAAGAATTTTTTTTAGCAAAAGAGGATTTTTTAATTTGTTTTTTAGACATAATATTGTTGTACACTTAGTAGACTATGGTATAGTACAAACATAACTTTTATATGCACTGGGAAACCAAAAAATTCATGTGTCTCTTATTTTGATACTCAATTTATTGCAGTGGTCTGGAACCAAACCCACAATACCTCTGATGTATTCCTATACTAAAAGTAAACTTTACCATCCTGAAAATGTGGTTCCGACTCTGCCTGCAGCAACTACCTTTTGCCCTTGAGGATCCTGTCTGGACCATCCTCACATGGTCACATAGGCCATAAATGCCCACACAAGTGTAGATGTGAAAAAGGTACCCATAGATGGAAACCTTAGTCACGTGATATCAATTTTATAGATATCAATATACATATAAATAGTATATTTTTTTCCTGGAACAGTGTACAGATGAGATATATTTATATCAATGTAGCTGGTGCTGGAATTTTTCCTCAATAAATCTTTGCTTTTCAACACTAAATGCAGCCTGGGATGCTGCTCAGGTGCCACAAATTTAGATATTCGACAAGAGGCCAGTTCTGAAACCTGTGAGAAGATAGCATTCAGCCAGGAAGTCCACCATGCTGAGTACATGTCATGCTCTCATCTGCTCTGGCATCGCCACATGGTCCTAGAGCTCTGGGTGTCATGACCTCAAATATTAAGAATTGCTATCTTACGGTGACAGAAAAATTCGCAAGTTCTTCCCTGGCCCACCACCACCGCCACAAGGTCCCACAGACTCAGAGCTGAAAGGCACACTTTCAAGAATGGCAAAGGAGAAAGAATAGTGTTGACACAAAACTCAAATCTTGTTACAAACACTCAGACTAAGTGCCGTCATGCTGAATATTGCATTAGATAAGTGGACCTCTGAATGAAGCTGGCAGGGGCAGGGAACGCATGAAGGATGAGACCGGCGGGTTAAGAGAGATTCCAGTCTGTGTTCAGTTGCTCTCATCAGGAGCAAAGCCATTTCTTTGCCCATCCACCTGCTGATGAAGGCAGGCCACTAGGACTGCTAAATCATCACGACTGCAGGGACATTTCTCCGAGACAAACCACATCTGTATGTTGTGGTACTCAAGCCCACGACAGTGGCGCTGCAGTGATGCTGACATTGCGCTATACACAGAAACACGCTGTTCTTATCTAGAACGATCTTTGTTCAAAAGCTTCAGGCTTCAGACTCTCTCAGTTAGGTACAGTTTTACCCCATCCCTCCTTACCATCATGTATCCAGGAAGCCTTTGGGATAGTCAAAATACATTATCAATTTTTAAGTTCTGAGTGTCATCAAAAAGTTGTACAGTTCTGTGAAGGACACGGAGAGGAATACATATATTTACAAAGACTGTTCTCTCTATTCACATAAATATACTCATGTAATTATCCATGTTTATGTGAGCGAAGCGAATGATGTGGAAGAATCTACACCAAGTTGTTAATGTTGGTTATCTAGAGGAGACTGAGGAGAGAAATGGGGAGTTTGTTGCATTATTAATACTTCTATATTGGTTAGCCACTTTTATCTGTGACCCTGTCATTTCTGTATCAGGATTCCTAAATCAATCTCTCCGGCTAGAAGTTTCCTCCGGAACTTTTATCACCGCAATATCGAAAGAATAAGCTGTTTTCTCAAATGTTCCTTATTTCCACGAGCAATGCTGTACTTTTCTGGTCCCCAGAACCCTGTCTTTAACTCATCTTTCTCTTTCTCCTGCCTGACCCCACCCTGCAGTCCTGCCTCCCAGACTTCTTTTCCACACTCACCGTAGCTCAGAGCCTCACCACTACCTTCTGCCTAGGTTACTACAGGATTCTCCCTGAAACCAAGCTGTCCCCTGCTCCAGCTTCTCCCACCTACTACATTTCTTCTGATACATCTAAGATAAAGCTTCAGTCCATCTGCTTATTCTCCACATTGGCTGCTGAATAAACTCCAATCCAGACTCACACTAGTATTCAAGGGCTTTCACTGTATAAGTTCCAGCTACTCCAGCTTCACCCTCTACTGTTCCCAGACAGCTCATTCACGCACTAGCCACCTGGAGCTCACACTTAGGAAGGTGTGCATGATTATCTACCCGTATGACTTTATTGATTCTTGGAATACTCTCTCCTCTCCCTCTCTGCCTATGGAAACACCACCCATCCTTCAAAGTTCATTTCAGAGGCCACTACCCACTAACCAAATGTGCTTTTCCTTCTGAGTGCCCATAGCACTTAGTAGGTCTTTGTGGGTTCTCATGTCACCCTAACCTATTATGGTCATTTCTGAACTTCTTTTGTGTACTCTACTGTATTGAAACTTTACTGAAGAGAGAGATTAACTTAGTCTTCTCTATATCTCCTCATTATCTAATCATACTTAGTACCTAATAGTACTTACATATGGTAGGTACTCTGCTAACATTTGTGACCTTGATTTGAGTTGACACTTACCGGCAGAGAAATCAAAAGAGTGAGGGGACTAACACTTGTTGAGCAGCCACTGTGTTCCCAGGAATAAACTAAATATTCTGTGAGTTTTGCTCCATTTTAACATAAATGCAAGCATTTTGCAGCTACAGACAATGACTAGAAGCTCCTATGAAACAGTATCATCAGTTGACATTTCTGCACATTTACTTATTATGATAAGCATTGTTTAAAAAAATCATCAGGCAATAAAAAATTATAAAGTACATGTTTTCAAAGAAAGAGTAATTTGATTTCTATGATCTCTTACAATTATATAATGCTAAGATACCATATTACACGCAAGGTTGTTTAGTGTTAGGTGTGTTTTACAACATTCTAAACCATATCATAAAATAGTATTACTAGCTATACTATTTAATTGACCTGAATATCCCATTTTCTGACTGTGCTGACTACCAGTATATACATTATATCCTATTACTCCAACATTGTGATACTAAGGAAACTGTGCTCACTTAAAAAGGAATACTTATAAACCTAAACATACAAGGAAAATAGCTTCAGAAGCGAGTAACTTAGACTAATCCAATTATGGACTTACTTTTATTCTAAAAAAGAAAATAAACTGTTTTCAGATGAAAAATCCCCTACGAAGCTGATTTACACATATGTAACATTCTCATACAGTACCGTAGAGCATCCCCTGAACTTTAATCCTTAAACTTTTAGTTTTTAGTAGTCCTAAATTTCATACAGTTCCTTGAAATAACAAAAGCTTATCTTAAGGTTTTAGAAATAAATTATAAAATATTATCTTAAAGATATGTGACTTACCAACAAAGAAGTCAGAAATGGCCAAGTTAAGGAAAAAAAAATTACTTCGATGTCTAAGGTTTTTGTCCACCACAAAAGCTAAAATGACCACAGCATTTCCTAGCATTATAGCAAAAGCTAGTAAGCTCATTAAAAATGCTAAAGTAATGCGAATGTTTAATGGCAAAGCATTTGTATCATTAGTAGGTAACATCACATCAAATGATAAAGAAACTCAATACAGCAAACAAAGCCAGCAAGACAGTTCTGACAAGTGTGTTTCCCAGTCGAATACCTAAAATAGTCTCCCACGCGTAACTTTTTTTTAAATCTAAAGCTGATCTCATAGTACTTCCTGATTCTTGATAAAAGCAAACTTGTGGTAACAGTTTCCCCTTAACTAACACTGAAAAAGTATTTCCAAAAGACAGTGAAATGTTTAACATAAAACATTTTAATGCGATTCATCCAGCTCCTATTAATAGAGCAATATTCTATAATATATATTTTTTAAAAAACTGATACACTGTATAGGTAAGAAATTGGGCTCAAATGAGATGATATAGATCCAGTTAAATATTCCCTTCTGACCAGGATGGATTAACAGGGACTGAATTTACCATCCTATCTGCAATAACTAAAAAACTGGACAAAATATATGAAGCCATGATTTTCAAGGCACTAGACATGAGGCAGTGAAGGACAGTGACCCCTGAGGGAAGGGGAGAAAATGAGATAAGCCCTGCGGTTGCCCCAGCTTACTGTCTTGAGAGAGGGCACAGAGCAGAGAGAGGCATCCAGGAGCAGCCAAGCAAATTCCCTGAGATGGGAAGATTGAGTTGAGAGTCAGGGAGTACCAGCTCTGTGCTGCAGAATTGCAAAGGACCTTCCGCAAGTATACACCAGAGTACTGAGCAACACAGTATATGAGGAAATGTTCTTAGAAAGAAGAACCACTTGAAAAGATTAGAAGGAACAGTACCCAGTAGTCACACGGAGCCACTTATAGAATTTGTTCCCCCCAGCCAGACTGACAAAGCTCATAATTCATGGAGCTTTGGGTAATATATTCAGAATAGTCTTGCCTTAGTTCTCAGAAATAGCTCTATACTGAATATTGCTTGGACCCTGCCTCACAGATCTTAAAAGCAAGATCTGAAAGGGTCATGCTGGTTCCAAGTAACTTAACAGCAGCTCTGAACACAGCTCAGGAATATTATAGAACACAAAAATATCCAGTCCCCAACAAGGTAAAATTTATATTGTCTGGAATCCAATTTAAAATTATCAGGCAAGCCAAGAAGCAGGCAAATATGACCTATAATGCAGAGGAAAATCAATCAATTGAAACCACTCAGAACTGACATAGAATTAACGTTAAAGCAGTTACTATAGCTATATTCCATATTTTAAACAGATATACAAAGATATAGAAGTTTTTACAAGACCCAAATCAAACTTCTAAAAATGAAAACTAAAATATCTGAACTAAAAATACAATTAGAAAGGATTAATGATAAATCAGAATTGTGGGAGAAAAGATTAGTGAACTTGAACATACAGCAATATAAACTACCCAAAATGAAACACAGAGTTAAAAGAGAATTTTTTTCAAGTAATTTAAGAGAGCATCTCTAAGCTGTAAGGCAACCTCAAGTGGCCTAATAAATGCCTACTAGAAGTCCTTGAAGGAAAGGAGAAAGGAGGGAACAGAGAAAACATTGCAGAAATAATGGCCACAAGCTTTCAAAATTTGATGAAAACTGTAAACCAAGAAGCTCAGCGAACCCCAAACACAGGAAACATGAAGAAAACTACACAGTGCACATCAAACTACTCAAAAGCAGTATTTTTAAAAAAGTCTTAAGAGCAGCGAGGGGATGGAGGTGGGAATTACATATAAAATTAATAAGATTTTTTTTTGATGACAGCAGATTTCTCATCAGACACAATGTAAGCAGGAAGAAACTGGTCCAACATCTTTCAAGGGCTGAAAGAAAAAAAAAACCATCAATTTAGAATTCCGTACCTAAGGAAAAAAAAATTTCCAAAACAAAGGCAAAATAAATTTTCAGATACATAAAAACTGAAAGAATTTATCACCAGCAAACTAACACTACAAGAAACGTGAAAGGAAGTCCTTCAGGAAGAAAGAAAATGAGTCCAAATGAAAATGGGAATACGAATCTGTACAGAGGGATGAAGAGAAACAGAAATGGAGGTTTTCTTGCTTGTCTCTCCTAATAGAAATAACTTGCTAGAGGATTAAGGCTGCATTTTCATTTTGTTTTGTTACTTTTTGTTTTTGTTTTGTTACTTTTTAAGTATGATATACACAACTAAAGTACACAAAGCATAACTGAATGAAGTACTTAAACCATAGATGTATAATTGATTAATTTTTACAAATTGAACATACCCATATAACCACCACCCAAATCAAGAAATAAGTATCTCAGAAGTTCTCTTATATAGTCACTCAACGCTCATGCATAAGCTTTATCCTGACATCTATAACCATAAATTACCTGTGCCCATTTTCTTTTTTTTTTTT